GGGGATGGGGGGTGGCGGGGAGGGCTTCCCTTTCTCAGGAGCAGTTCTTCTTCCCTCAACACTGAAACCTTCCTGACTGAGGACAGTTGGGACAATCCTGATTGCTCAGTATCTTTTGCTTCTACGAGCTTTTCTCTTTCCTTCGTAACTTTCTATTGCCATCTGGGTGAAGGCTTACAGAGCCGAGCTTCCGTTTCACCGTCAACAATCCAAACCCATTTTGAATCATCTCTTCGGTGACGGTCACTGATCCCACATGCCCCGTGTCCCCACTCCTCTTCCTTACTCAACCTGCTGAACTCTGTCCTTGGGCAAATGCTGACCTGTAGGTCTCAGATGGCTGTTGATTCTAAGGCGTCTGTACCTCCCGAGGGCTTTCTCCCGAGAGACCTGCCTGCTATTTGACTGACAGGCGTAATCTGACTGGCCCACCAGTGGTACTCCTGGAAGATTCGCATACAACTAGTTTCATTTCCAATAGACATTTAGGCAGCCAAAGGAGATTGTTTGATGGTAAAACCCTTCAAAAAGTTAAAAATCTCTTATCAAATAATCAACATCTAGTTTCAAACTCCCGGCCATGGAGTTAATTCTGACTCCCAGCAACCCTACAGGACAGGGCAGAACCGCCGCTGTGGGTTTCTGAGTGTGACCTCTTGTGGGAGTAGGAAGTCTCCTCTTTTACCCTCAAAAGTGGCAGGTGGTTTCAAACTGCTGACCTTGTGTTTAACAGCCCCAATGTGTCACCACTGCGGCACCAGGGTGCTGACCATCTAGTATGACTCTGGTTTATGCCCAGCTTTTCATTTGTCAATTCTGCTGGGACAAGGGCAGGGCAGGGGGCCCCACTGGAGGGAACAGGGAACATTCTGTCCCCGAGGGCATGAAAGCCATACTGCTGACACCCCATCCTCACACTGTGCCTGTCTGCCAAGCTCTCTTCTACTCCAGTGCCCTCTGCCCAGCGCCAGCCTCAGAGGGTTTCCCCACAGAATAACAGCCGCTCTTACAGTTTCTGCCTGCTAGAAAAGGCACGTGAGAGAGGCAGGAAATTATATATACACACGTTCCCCGCCATCCTCTCTCAGAAAACCCCAGCTTCCAACCCGCTATGGAATGACTTCAAATCAAAACCCACAGGGGCTAATGAGGCATCTTTGTGCAAATGCCACTTTCAAACCCTACTTAGCCCAGTCAGGCCAGTGACAGACAGGAGCCTGGGGCTCTGGAGGATCAGCAGGTGTCCCAGTCTGTGGGAGGAGGGGGAGGAAATGGCCCAGTGCCAGGGAGATTTCAATAGTTCCACACCACAGGTAGAGGTGGCCTTGTGGCTGCCTCAAGCCATGGGAAGGCTGGTTTCATTTCTTCAGAAGAATCATCCCAGCAGCTAGAGCATCAGTGGACACATCCCCTCCTGGCTCCAGAAGCCTCATCCCCTGAGCCAGCTGTCGCTAAAAAGCTCAGATTCCAATTCCTCTAGCAACAGTAGTGTTGCTTCTCCTCCCCACCCCACCTTGCAAAACCGGTGAAGAAGGAGCTGGCCAGAGGGGCACTCGGACACCCACAGACCTCAGCAGGTTGGGAGTGTGGCCTCTACATCTCACACCAACTCCCAAATCAAGTTTGTCTGCAACAGGCCTGAGTCATGCACCTCCACCACTTTGAGACCAGAAGAGCTAGATGGTGCCCGGCTACCCCTACCCACTGATCAGACAAGGACCACATTAGCAAGTCCTGGAGAGAGTGGGTGAAAAAAGTGTAACAAAAGTCAAAATTAAATAAAAGTTTTAAAAACTCAAAATCAAAAAGAAAAAAAAAAAACTAGGCTTACTGGTGGAATAGAGATGATTAGGACCCTTAATTCACTCTTTAGGGTTGGAAATGAATTCACCCACTAGGCTCATTCTCAACCAAACAAGCAGGTCCATTTGAGGAACAGTGCCACCAGGGAGGTCCCAACACCTCAGGGCAGCCATGTGAGATCAGACAGCACTTTACCAGGGACCCCTGATCAGAGGGTTAGGTGAGGAGGTGCCAAGTGGGGAGACACAAGGAGGAGTGCTATCACACGGAGGGGATGGAAATGACATTGAAATGCTCTGAATTGTTGGAACGAAAACTTCCTCCGTAAACCTTCACCCAACTCACAACGAAAAGGTTATAAAGTCGAAGGTAAAACAAGAGGAGGCATCAGAGGAGGAGAATGTCAGCCGGAAGCACGGGTTTCGTGTAAGCACCCAGGCTGCTGTGCTGGTCACAGTGGGTTCTGGGGACAACGGAGGGCTTCCTGAGAGCACCAGGGAGTGATGTGTGGGGGAGAAGCTGGCTTCGCAACTATCACAGATCGCCCCGCACCCCGTTTTTTAAAATGCTGTAAGGGGACGTCTCTTAGGAGTCAGAAGCAAGCCCTGGTTTCCGCGGTGACTAAAGGGCTCCATTAGGTCACTGGTTCGAACCCACCAACAGGTCCAATGCAGAAAGAAGTAACCAAGGACGATTACGGAACTGGTGGGGCAGTTCCAATCTGTCCTAAAAGGGTCCTGGGAGTGGGGATCGGCTGGACAGCAGTGGCTTCTGCGTCCCTGCGGGCATTTACACAACGGAGCCGAGCACCGGCCCCCCTCTGATTGATTGATTCACCGGTTGATTTGAACAGCGGGCACCAGGCCCATCACGCGGGACCTGGGGTCACCACGGCAGGGTTCAGTTCCAACTCTCGGTTCTCCGCGCCGGGCCTTCTTCCCGCGGCAGATGTGAC